TACGCGACTTTTCAGCATGATAATGCACCGATCCATAACGCAGGAAAAATCAAAGAATTGTTAACAAAAAATAAAATAGCGACTATTAACTGGCCAGCGAATTCACCAGACCTAAATCCAATTGAGAATATTTGGAAGGTTTAAAGGATAATGTCCAAAATTATGAAGCTTTTCCGCGGTCTGTAGATACCGAATTCGTGATAATTAAAACCCAATTCGTATTCATTAATATAAAAATACGTGTTATATTATAAAAATAGAATATTTTAGAGTATTGAAACAAACGATTATACTTCCGTATCTTTTTTGAACATGATGTAATTTGTAACTAGCTAATTAAGAATCAAATTTTAATGCCATGTTCCAAAAAATAATTCAAGCATTTGAAAAAAGCGCGTGTAAACTGAAATATTCTTCAAGAAAAACCGTTGAATAATACTCACCAGAATACGAGTGATACATTGGGATTTCCGCTAAATTTCGGTCAGACCATTAAAAGACCCACACATGTAGTAAAATTTATTACGTCATACCGATACCGATACATATTTGTTGATCTACATGTACTATCGCTATCGCTATGTGTTATTCCCTAACAGGTTACGCCGGAAAAATTTTAATTTGCGTTAAAGCTTTATCATTTGGGAGCCAAGATTTCACGTAAAATTGTTTCCCTGTTATTTTTTAGGCATCTGTTTGCCGGATTTGTTTTGCCGAGCTGATCAAAAATTTGCGCGCCCTGTGCCACCCGTTGCCACATACAACCACAATTCAAATTTAGTGGGCATCCAATATCCTTGTCTTAATTCCGACGCTAAGTGATTTTTAGCCATGCCATGTTACTTTCTTCAAGCCTTGTGTTTCCTTATTTCGCTGTAAATGTTCAGAATATTGAATATTTCATTATATTTAAAATAATCGTTCAAAGCTTTGTCGATAGTTTATAGTCGCATAGCGCATTTTGATTGGGACCTACAGTATACCGTATCCCTCCGATAATTAACACCCTGTGTTAGCAATTTTCTTAATTTATTATTATATTAAGTATTACATATTTATATGCTTGTCTACGGTACATAATTCATTTACGTTTTAATGTCTCGGAGTTTAAAATTCTCAAATAGTACCTTCCTTTCCTTGTCTAGTATTGAATCAAAAAGCAACAATTTTAGTGTTGGAAATCATAATCCGGCTGTCTTCTTAATTTTTCAATAAACAAAAAAGTGTGGCCAAACAATGAGACGTTATCGTTGATCTTAAAAGGAAAGAGAAGAATGAAAAGACTACCGATGCAAATTAAGATGATTAAGAGGATCACAAGATTCCAGATCGGGTGTCATATAATACATCATGTGTATTTATGATTATTATTAAAACAAAGCAAAAGTTATCGTTATACTCAACTATGCATCTAATTATTTGTGCAAATAACTATTTAATGCATTTTTCAGTATTGAAATATAAATTTACTGTATACTCATTAAATGCCGTTATTAATTGTTCAATCAATTAGTTTGAACTTGATTTATCAAATTTAAAACACATACTATCACTATCGCTAATAAATTTCATTTAGTTTGTCATATTATAGCGATAATTGACTTTCTTGGCTTATCTCATAATAATGATAGACAAAAAATGGTAATATGACAATAAAGTGAAGAACGCCTATGTCGATCAACACGTCGACGTCAATGTACTTTACAGGATTGTTTATTTTTAACACTTGCAGTCTGTAAATGACTTGAGCAAAGAAAAAAAGTCATTATTTGTAAGTTTTAAAGAAAATGCATAAATTTGGAAATAACTCAAAACAATGCATTTAGGATATTTGTAGACAATGCAATAATGAAGGCTTTTAGTAATACGTATAGTAACAGGAAAATGAACGTTAGTATTCATTATTTTTGCTGGATACATTATGTTCAAATTTCTTATAAAAAGAAGTGCACCATTTTTGAGTAGCACCATCATTCATGAATGAATGAACAGTTTTCCACTTGATGCTAATATCAAACACTCTTTCTTCATAATAAATCACTTTCATTTTACCATAAAATATAATGAGTTCCTTAAATCTTGCCGAGTTAGAGCATCACATTTCTGAATTGTCATACGTTTCCGGGGATGTGCAATCAGAACATTATACTTCTGAGTACATTTTTGCGGACGTGCAACTTACTTCTGAGAGCTCGAATAAACCAACTGGATTTGAGCTCACAATGATGTGGTCCTCTAATTTGGGACCGTCATCCTATTCCGTGCCTTTACAATCTACTAATGAATTTTTGCATCGATACAAGCGTAAATACAGAGAATTCCAAAATAGAAGATCGACGAATTGCTACTTTGTTTTCAGATTTTATTTTTATGAAATTAAGAAAAAGTATTTTGACTTTAGCAAATTTACACAAAAAGAAATTTCAAAACTTTCGAGAATTATTTGGAACAACTCAAAAATTAGACTTCAAAAATATTTCAAGTCTTTCTGCGAAGAGCTCAAGACTGCTATATCGAATGCTAAAAGTGAATACGAAAATCATTGTGAACGCACTGGTAAGACATTATTGCTTATTATAACATTAGTTATTTTTTATTATTTTATTTTATTAACATTTATTTATTAATATGACTTTACAGATATCTCTTTGCAAAGGAATCTTTTACTCAGTAATACAATCCAAAATGTCATTCCCTTTAATAATTGTCCTTATCTCCGTCGTCTTCATCAAACCTCATTTCCGGTTTATGACCCATCATTCATTATTTAACTACATTTTATTTATCATAATAATTATCACATTATTTATATATTATTAATAATTGATGATAATAACGCAAGATAATTTTCTTGCTTAGCATATAACTTTATGAACTAGTATTTTTGAAATCAAATTTTTCACTAAATTTTCCTAAAGTTTGGTATCGAAAAATCTTTATAATATTTTCACAATTTTTTTAAACTATAGTAGAAAATATATGTGTAAAATTTGAGCTTTCTAACTTACAATTTTATTAGACCAAATTGTGAATTTAGAATAAAAATCTGAGCCTCAAAGTTTTTCTATAGTTGAAATCCTCATTCCAAATGTTACTATCACTCTCAAATTAATTCATAATTACTCTTATCTCATGTTTACTAATTGATTATTTGAGCGGGTCCTCAAAGAAATCTGACATCTTGAATAAGTGATCCGTTTTTTGACCGTTTTGATTACAAAAATTCAAATTGAAAATTTCTAACCAACTAGCGAATAAAAATCCGCCAAATTTTAACTAAATATTCTTTACCACTGAGTGTATCCACCCTTTGCATTGATTACTTCTTGGATGCGCTCATCCATACTTTCAATTAGACTTGTTAAAAATGCATTATCCATTTTGATCCAGACTTTTTGTATCGCATCCCAGAGTTGATCTTCTCAAACGCTGGTCTATTTCGTTCCAGAGATGCTTGATTGGATTAAGATCAGGTGATTGGGCAGGCCAATCAAGTATAAGAATTTCATTATCATCAAACCATGCACGTCCTGAATCTGTGCCAGGTTTTATCGATCATTAGGCGCAGCAGATGGTCCGACGATCCAGCAGTTCGACAAACAGATCGTTTATGTTTAGGGGAGTGCCATTTATCAAGTGTTTTTTACCATATATACATGGTGTATGTGTAGTATATGTTGACTATTATGTAATACAAAATAATAATATATCACGTGTTTATATCACATGATTACAATACTATTACAGGTCAACATACAAACTCTGCAATCACTACTCAATATCACTCTGTATCTCATATAGGTTTAGATCTGTTTCTTCCCACCATTTATGACTATACTTTGCATCCTTGACAATCCTGAAGTTTGATGTTTCGATTGCTGAAATAATAATTGAGTCTTCTATCTTTGGCAAAGACTTTTGTTTTCAAAATCATTCATATTTGGTTTGATGCTTGTGATACTTGTGACTTGCAACAAACTTTAAGGTAAGATAATATTTGTCATATATACTGCAACACAAGTACTAACACATTTCATTTGAAATCGATGAACATGAGTGATTATAGGGAGAAATTTTTAGCTTGTCAAAGTATTGAAGGACATGTATTAGATTAACAAAATATTTGTTCTTGATTTTGGTGATGGAAGGGAAGAATTCATTATTCTCTTTTAACAAGACAGCAGCATTAGGAGCTTGATATTCACGACAACATTGACAGTTCTTATATTTTTTTATATCTATTGAATAATGATATAACTAAGCATGATCCTCAATTCATTCTCATATCGATTGCTCAAGATTGGCAAATAATTCAGAGTTTTCATCAATATATTGTGTTATTACAGGTTCTTATACATTTTGTCTTTGCTCCAAATTTTATATAATCTCTCTTCTGAAAATTTGAAGTTACGTCATGCTAATTCTTCATCTACAATATTGTTTTGAGAATTTAGATGTGTTCCATATTCATTCAAAGATAGAGTGATCTCAACAAGCTTGCCTGAAAGAGAAGTCATAGTATGCTCTACAGGATTATAAGCACTTTGTTCCAGAGTATGTGTTTAGATAGTTAAATAGTTGAGATCCAGAAAGTGAAACAGATTGCAATACTCGATAATTTTTTAAATATTTTGAATTTTCATTAGATTCACCATCAACAAGAAGAATTCAAATAAGTCTAACTTTATTTTCTTTTAATATAATAAAAGCAAACTGTAAATTGGTGACGAGACTTAGTAAATCTGTCATATAGATCAATGATGATGTGCTGACAAAATATTCTGGTCATACAAAAATACCAAGTTGATCAGTTTGAAGAGTACTGTTTGAATTAGCAGGATCAATAAAAAGATATACTAAAGGTACAAATTTCATTTTGCTTTCTTTTAAAAAATCATGATCTTTAATTGTCATGAATTCATTTACTATTTGGATGATCTTAAATATTCATCCTATTGCAGGGATACCTAAACCAATTTTTGCCTTGTTATTTTGAGAGATAATAATAGAATAATTGTGAAAAACTCAACAAAAGCCTGTATCACTTTAACAGATACCAAGCAGTAATGTTCATCCCATGTTGTTTCATATCAGTTCTTGCTACTGATGCAAAACTAACTTTTGTAGGATAATATTACAGTGATTCTGGATAGTGAGTTTCACTAAGAATCACTACAAGCATATGATGTTGGGAGAGGAGCGATTAAACTTAAGTAAAGAAAATGAATTATAAATATCAGCAAAGATTTCTAAGGCCTGTGCCAATATCTATAGATATTGTGTGTTCAAAGATCTGAATTACAAAAGTAATTTGAAAAAGGGACAAAAATATAAAGAAAAGAATAAAATAAATCAAAAGATTTATAACGATTAATAAGTGAAGCCACTATTAATCAAAGA